TAATACCAGAAACACTAATGAGGCCAAGACGGCTTACTCATCGAAGATGTCGAAGGAGGTGGAGTCCACCGGACTCATTCCTACGAACAGGAGGTAGAGGAAAATGCAAATCCCAGCAGTATATCAAAGAAAAGGTATTATTTTTTATAGGTTTTAAAAACCAGTTCAAGCTGCCCCTTCTGCCGCCGCCCCTTGATTCATATTTATACCTATTATTATCACAGGCAGCTTCGAACAATAAAAAATTCTAATATGAAACATGAACGTTAGATGGATTCAACAAAGAAAAGAAGTCGAAGTTTAAAGCTTGATTCCGTGCGAGCGAACCAAAGCAAATACAAATCGGAGAGTTTCAAAGACAACTTCTTGTTTCCTTCTTGAATATTCCGGTTCTTTGGACTCTTTTGGGCCAAAAGCAGAGGGTGCAGGGAGAATCTGAGAGAGGCCGAGACCCAGCAGACGTAATTAATGATCCCGAAAACGTTGACGACGGCAACCAGCAGCAGCAGTAAACCCATGAAGGGGCAAACGCATGTTTTGGACCTTTTTTCAGTTGGGCCGGTTGGCAGTTGAAATACCAAAAGTGGAATACAGGTGCGGATTAAGGTCAGACGGTCGAATGGAGCCCAAGATTGAGTGAGTCAAAGGGAAATTGACTTCTTTACAGATTTATGAATTTTAATATATGTATATATATTTTGGTTAAAAATCAAAATATATTTTTATCTACGGAATTCGTTTTTTTTTCTAAAAAATTGTCAAGACTATAAGTCATCATTCTTTACAAAATTGTACGAAAGTAACAGAGATCATTTGAAAATATTAAAACAAATCGCTTCTGTGGTTAATGAATTAAAAACTTGTACTGACTAAGTAGCTTACTATGTGCTTTAAAAGTTGTATTGATATCTTAGCATAAATTAGTAATGGCATGACTTATATTATTTTTATTTTAAAAGAATTAAGAAACTTCAACAAAGGTTAAGATAAAAAAATCTTACGGTTCAATGTGCTGAAAAAGCCTCCATTAAATCATTTTTTAAATATCCTGGAGAAAAAGTTTTTTTATGAATCATTGTGGTTTTTAATACGATGATAATTTTCAGTAGGAATGTTTTAATCATAAAAAAAATATAATAATATAAAAGCGAAAATAAAAGAAGCAAGAAAACTCCAGCCAGAAATATTTCTTGCAGACTCCACAACTGGATGCCATAAGAAGTTGTACTACAACTCGATGTTTATAGTATTTGTAGAATGCTGAGGGGCGAGTCTGCAAGACGTACTACAAGATACACAACAACAACAACAACAGCTAACGCAACATGAAAACTGGTTTGAGGCAACAACAACAACAGCAAGTTACACATCAATGTGTGTTGCCATACACACAGATACAGAGCCACCTAAGGATGTGTTAGTGTCAAACAAGAAGACGAAGACTTTATAAAAACGACACTGGGCTGGAGGGGGGTGTGAGGTGTTGGGTTATAGAAAGAGAGCCAAGAAGCAGACGCAAAACGAGACTCTAAAATGCCCCACTCTCACACTCACAAAACTACCTCCTTCTTGCTTTCCATATTCTTGAACTTCAAAAAGTACAACGATGAAAATCGAACAAAAACCCAGCATAAAACAAATAAAAACGAAGAAACAAACAACAACGTCAAGCCGTCAGACAGCTACTGGTGTTAACCCGTAGTACATAGTAGTAAAAAGCAGCCAGCAGCAGCAGCAGCACAACCAACACACAGATACTACCCATACATGTATGTGTATATGTACAGGCGCGTACAACGCTGCGTATACGCCATGTCTGTCTGAGAACGTCTTCACCGTCTGCCTGCCTTATCGTTCGTCTTTTGACTTCTTTCCTTCCCATCTCAATTCCCCCACTCTTTAACGCTAATGCCCACAATATATACTCATACTCGTATATACATTCCCGATTCGCGGACGATCGTCATCTGTGCAGCCTGCTGCAGACCGAATGCCCGAAGAAGAAGCCCCCAAGTGCTAGTGATATTCCCCGCCCAACCCCCACAATTGGAATTCAGTAGCGAGTGATAAAGTGTGGAAGGCAGAAGGGAAGCCCCCAATACTCTGGCTCGGTAATAACATTTAGCATTTATCCAAGTTTCACTTTTTCAGTCACAGTCCATGTGTCCTTCAAGTATTGCACATTTTTTATACTTTATTATAAGAGGAATATTTATTTATTATTTATTTGCCAAAATTTATTAGCTATTATTTTTACAATTTAAATATTTGTTGGCTTATTAATATATTAAACTATAAATAGTCAAATATTTTGAATTATTTTAATTTCTTTATTATAAGTTCTATGTTGAACACTAAATATATTAAAAGATTAAAGTAATGTTCTTACAACATTATAAATTCCCAATTCTATAGACATCTACTGAATATTTAGACTTAAAACTAAACTATTTTTTTATAACCTTCACCCTACAAACGATATAGCCGTGCGCTACCCTACATCTATACTCCCTATTTCCTCTGTTTTTTATGTTCTATCTTCTCAACTCTACTTGGCACCGAACTTCGGCTGCAACCATATGCCGGAATAAAGACTTCGATTCATTGTAGGCACTGTAAGAGGCAAAATCGGCAGCAGACAGAACTTAAAGACCATCCATTACAAATGCTTTTCTTTTCATTTCGTGTTTATAATTCGATCTGGGCATGACTGCTGGGGATCTGCCTGCCTGCCATTATGTCTGTGCTTTTTTTAATGCTCTACATGATCTGGTTTCGTCTTGGATTTGGGCAATTTCAACTTTTTGATGGATTGTTATTGAAGTTTTGCTGTTTGTTGTTTGCAGCTTTTGTGGCTTATTTCAACTTTTTAATGGTTCTCTCGGTTTGTTGGTCATGTAAACAAAAGATCTTGAGATACATATATCATGTAAATGGGTTTTTTCCTAGTCGGAATTAAAGATGATTTTTTCAAGGTTTTTACAATATTTTCGGAGAAGTATGCTTAGGGCCACCAACTAATGGGAATTAAATGGGGGATTACGTTGAAAATAAATGTGTTTTGTTGGTAAATTCTATGAAATAACCTTTGATATATGCTCGGTTCAACTAAACATTTAATTCAAAATTATACCAACAAAATTTAATAATTTATATTTGGTTAAGTGTATCTAAATTTCGTTTAGCGCTTTGGCCTAATTGAGAAACTAGCTTCACTACCAAAATTGGCTCATTGTCCTGGCCATAAAAGGCACACACACTCGCAAACCATCAACACAATGTAATAAAATACGAAACAAAAAATAACTAGGTAAGAAATACGTGCCATGCCTCGAATAATGAAGTTAATAATAAAAATGAAAAAAGCAACATTTGCCGCTAACGATAAACCAAATTTGTACAAATAAAATATATTAATAAACAATCGGCGTGCGCGTTTTTTTCGCTGTGTGTATGCGTGTGAGTGAATTACTAAGTTTTTGCCACCAAAGTTGGATTGCCAATTTATACTATATTCAAGCCGAAGTCGTAGACATAGCAACGGGTTTATTTCTGTATCGGTGTTTGGATTAATTCACAGAACGGCTTGCCAATTAGCAACAAAAAGTTATTGTAGTTGATTAATTATTCTAAAAATTCAGTAACCCCACCTACCCGTACCAGCGAATGACAATAAAATAATTATAGAATAAATAAATTGTTGAGGCCAGCAATAGGAGTGAAATCTGCATTATAAATGTCATTTGAACACGCCTTTTGGTTGTATACGTATAAAAAAACTATTTTGAACAGTGGTCATTCGAAATTCGTTCTTTAGTAATTGGTTACACAGATTTTTTTAGTTTAAAAATATATTTTGCACCCTGAAGAAGGGTTAATTAACTGAAATTAACTTTCGCAACTTGTTTTTATACTTTACTTATTCTTATATTTTTTGTAAATATAAAACGAACACTTAAAATCAATTAAATTAATGTTAAGAATTACCACTGTATAAGCTTTTATTGTATGTATGCATTACTTTTCACATTGGTGTTGTTGTGCCGCTACTAAGTGCGTTTAGTAATTTGCTGATAATTATCAACAAATGCACGCTCACGCACATTCAAATGTAAATTAGACTGTGGATCCATGGAAAGGGTGAGAGAGAGCGTTACCAGAGAAAGAGAGAAATTAGGTCCGGGCAGCAGCAACAATAACAATAACAAATCTCTTGCGATGCAGTTGCCAGCGAGAGTTTTGTTGCTAATTACACCCATACATCGATGCCCCAGCCAGTCAGAGTGCAAGTGCGTCTGTGTGTGTGTGTGCGAGAGCAGGTGGGGCGGTTAACTTCAGTTGGTAACAGTGGGACCAATGCAAACAACAAAATAGCTTTGTAGTAGCCAACATATTTTTTCCCAGTGCACTCAGATTTTATTAAGCCAACAAATTCTCATCGTGATTTCCCTAATAAAACCAACCAAAAACCAGTAACTTTTATCGTTGGCTAATTTCAGTAGCTGATTCTCACTCCATTGTTTTTATTTACAAATGGCAGAGCTTAATTTGAATTTCAACATTTCACATTTAACATATCAATGATAAAGAATGTGCACTAACACACGCGTACCCAAGTTCTATGAGCCATTGTTAACCTTTTTTTTTTTGTTTTTTTATGAACAATATGATGTGCAAATGTTCAAAGCATTGTGTGGTTAGTTTTTTTTCTTAAACAAAAGGCGAATAGAAATTCTCGAATACAAATTTAGTGGCCTGACCAGCTACAACAAATACATACGGTCACACTAAACTCCATGGCTCTCCCAAAGAGAGCGGGGGTGTGCTGGTATGTGTGGCTGTTTGTGGAAATGAATGAAGATGAAGCGCTGCTTGCCAACAACGTAAAAGCAAGTGTAAGAGCGAGCAAGGGAGAGGGGGGTCACAAAAGAGCGGGAGGGGAAATAAGAAATTTTCCAATTGGCAAGCACACAACATGGGGTAAAAGAATTTGCGCTTACCGTTTTTCGCTTATTGACGTAGGCGTCCGTTTCTCTCTCTCTGTGTGTGTTAAGTGTGTCTGTGAGTATGGCTTTTTCACCACTTTTTTTTATTTGCTCGGTTTGTTTTTGTTATGCAAAAGGCATAGAATTTTCGGTTGTACACGTTAAAAACACAAACACTTTAAAAATTATTTAACAGCTCGCTGGGCTGGGTGTCGCTCTCCCGCGCTGCACATGCACTGCGAATAAATGTTGGCTATATTATGTATTTGTAGTTTGCTGGGCTTTACAACTTTTCCACGAGCAAAACAACGCACGACTGTGGAAAGCGCGAGCCGACGAATCGAAAACCGTGAAAAGTGTTCATTGAGGAAAATTGAAATGAGCGCCCCAGCATGTCACGTTCTCTCTCTCGCGCTTGCTCTCTCTCTATCTCTGGGGGCCAGTGTTGCCAACTCAGCAGCAGAGCTCCAATGCCAATAAGCCGAATTGGGAATAAGGAGTATGTAAATTGAAAGCCCTGCTTTAGATACTCCAATTCTGATTCGAACACATCAATTATTTAATTGGGATTTTCGGGCAGCCGTGTTGTGGGCTGGCAACACTGCTCCACAGAGCAGACAGAGCGACGACGTCAGCGTTTGAGTGTGTGTGTGTGTGTGAATGCTAATCTCCTCCCTCTCTTTTTCTCATCACTCGCCCTCTCTTCGTCACACGCGCATTTTCGATTGATTGTTTTTGTTGTTGTTATTATTTGGCTTTTTATTTTAGCTTAATCAAATATTTAGCAAGTAGCACATCCCAGTTTGTTTTCCTAGCTCTATTTCACTTGTTTCCACACCTACACTTGTGCGTGCACCCGCCTTGGCGTGGGTGTGCGTGAGTGCGTTGTTTTGCAAACGAATGCGCTTTACTTTTCCCTAAATATGGCAAAAAACCTAATCACGAACCGTTTTATTCACAAAAAGGCAGCAGCCTGTTTTCAGCTCTGATTGGCTTTTGTGCGCGGAGCACAAGAATAATTCACAAGAGATCCACCTTCATCCGCGACACGTCCGCCCGTTCGAGTTGGAGAAACATCGATTGGTGGTGGCAAAGCATCGATGGCCACACCAGTGTCATCGATGTTTCTAAAACATCGGTGATATCGATGTTTATTAGGGCACAATCGATGTTCTTCTATCTTATCGAAAATCGGAAACCTTAGCGGTTCTCCTCTAGTGCTAACGGACTTAGAAAATTTAAAAATAATTAAATATTTATTTGTTTATTTCTTCATTCTTTGAACAACACCGATTTGCCAAAGTTCTCAGCACTTATAGTCAATTATATTTTTTTGAAAAAGATTTAATTGCAAGAACGGTTTAAAAAACTCAAAAGATAATGTTATGATAACAGTTTGTTTTAACTCTACCTCTAACATCAATGGTAATATCACTTCTTGGCAGTTCATAATCGTTGTTTTTTCACCTTTAAAAGAAAATGAGTAACCTGCTAAGTACATTTCGACTACCTGCGAAGTAAGCCCCAGTCAACTATCGCTAACCGTTGGCGTCTGCATAATAATAGGGCTCTCCCACCTCTAGAATTGCGGAGTGTGTACCCGCTATTTGTGGAGTAAGTCCCCGCTATTTGTGGAGTAAGTCCCCGCTACTAGCACTGTTAACAGTACCTTTCCAGTTTCAAGCACTGTTAAGCCCATACAAAATGCCCTTAGCTCAAAGCACTTTAAGAAATGTTAGCTAATATAAATCCAAAATATGTAAGAATTTAAGACAATTAAAAAAAATATACATTTTTATTCTTTCATTAACTTAACAACAACCATTCTTAATTAGTATACATATATAGGCACCCCATGTTTGACTATTGTTTTCCAGGCCTTTAATCAAAAAATCCGAAACTCCTTTAACTTGACCATAATAAGTCGCCAAAATAAGATGAACAGCCATATAAATTACTTCTTTGTGAAGCTAAGAACCTAAGCCTTTGATTTAAGATTGATTTATAACGATTTTTGACTTTTGTATTGTATTAATAATGAGATAAAAGGGAGGAACATTAAATAAAATAATATAATTACAATTTAAGCTTTTAAAATATCTTTATATTAGCCAAACATCTAGCAATTCGGTTAGGAAAGTGCATCCGCTAAGATAAAAGGTTGCAAAGTTGACTGAGTGGTGAGCACGCTAAATTGAAAGCCAAAGATTAAAAATGTTTGATTATTATTTTATTATATAAATTATTATTATTTAAGTCAAAAAAGTGCAGTTCCCTTAAAAATATTTGATAGTTTTGAATTAAGACTTAAAAGGTGTTTGTAAGAAATTTTTAATTTAATGAACAGTTTGCTTTTTCTTAGGAAAATACATTAAAAATCTCATTAATATAAAATAAGATCTTAATTAGATTTTATGTTTGATACTTTGTTAACATTTTTAAAATTATTATTTGTAAACAATTTATAGCTTATTATTAACTATTAGTTACTCAAGAACAAAACATGATATTTTACCAAAAATTTAATAAGTTTTATGGAATTCAATATTTTTTATCCAAATTAAATATATTTGTAAACTTGACTCACCTATACAATTTTGGACAATAATATAAAAAATTCCAGTTAGTGGTAGCCCTAAATTTCAGTGTGGCACTGGCCATTTAAAATACCAACCTCAAAAAGAGCGCGCCAGTTTTGAAAAGAATTTTTAGCTTGATGATTTCTTGAGTGAATAATTTATGAACGCACTATCTGCGAGAGCAAAAGTCACAGCCAAATGGGGCTCGTATGGAATAGCCTTAAAAAAGTGCAAACATTCATCAAATTTGCGCCGGAACTTTAGAAATATGAAAACCGCGCTATGTGACCCGTACACCTGCTGCCGGCGAGCGACATAAATTACGCATACGTCGTGTTAACCGTGGAAAAACATATAAATGTGTGTTGCCTCCCACACGATGGCGGCAAAAACAAATTGTTGTACCTTCTGCTGTTGCTGCTATTATTGCCATAACTTTAGACTTTTATGAGCAGTCAAGTCTGAGTGGTAATCTGCCTCCTTCATTGAGTTTAGTCTTCGAAAATTTTAACACTTCAAGTTTAATGAGCCGGAATGAGTGCAAGTTGAGAGAGGAAGGCTCAAATATATTAGGTTCAATTAATTAATTGATGCGGTGGCTGGGAAAACACATAATCGAGCTCTGATTTTGAGCTAAATAATTAAAAGGTATATTCATCAAGATTGAGTTTAAATTGAATAGACTGTAAGCCATATTTTGTATTTCTTTATGGCTTTAAATTGTACAATTTTAATTAAAGAACTTGCGGAATTTTGTGAAAACTATAATTATTAAATCCGTAAGGGGAAACATTTTATGTATTCTAAACGATACATTTTTATTACACAAATATGTGCGTTAAAACTCCAATAAAAACCATGCTAAAATGCATCATAAAAGTTTCGCAGTTCGCTTGGCGCATTAATTAGCATTGGGAAAGCTGGAACGAGGGGCGTCGACATTGGTATTTAAAATAATAATCCTAATTTGCTACACCTGTCATCAAGTTTTTATGTCCGCATGTGTGTGACTGGAGCTGCACAAAAAGTAATTTGTAAAATTCTCCGCTATAAAACATTTATAATAAAAAGGTAGCAAGTGTCAAGCAACGACACCCCCTCCCCCCCCCCATCCAACCCCCTTTTCACATAACTCTCTTGGCCAACACATTTTTCGCATTTAGTTTGTAATAAAAAGCAAACATTAAAAGCGAATATTCACTTCAAAACCGACATTACGGCAAGTTGTGGTTGATGCTGGGAGAATTTGAAGGGCGTGGAGTTGGTTTTGTGGGTTGATGATAAAGTTTTTTCTCTGGGGCAGAAGGTGGCTAATGGTTTAGAGAATTTTAGTTCAGCTGCAGGATTTGCAGCACTTGGAGCTAGGGATTTTAATATCTGTGCGTTGAATTGCTGAATAAATTATTCCCGCAAGCCAAATATTTAAATTACATTTTACGAGAAATCGAACTGCTACATTTTTGACAAGTAATTAAAAGGCCCAATTACTATCTAAACAACTGCACATGAAATGACAAAAAACTTCCACTAACTTTTACTGTTCATCGAAATGGTTTAACGAATGTGAAGTGTGTTTAATTTTAAATTAATTATGCCTGCAAGCGGTTCTTTTTTACATGTTGCACACTCTTCACCCATTTCACTCATTTACCAACACATTTTGAATAATGAAATTTGCGCATAAAACTTTGACTTTTTGTGAACGAGTAAAAGAGAGGCAACCGAACCACTAAAAAAAAAAAAAACAATGTTGCATGCAACACACATCAAACAAAATAAACAAACTAGGGCGGGAAAATGGGCGGAAAAGTAAGTCCACAAAAGAGTTACAAAATGACCAGCGGGCATTTTGTTTTTTTTTTTTAGCTTTCATTTCCAATTTTTGCGCCATTCTTGTTTTCGTTTTTGGCAATGTTAATTGGAATAGTTTTCACCAAACATAAACAAGCTTCAAGACCAGATAAAGTGGCGGTTTTAGGGGCGGGGGGAGGCGTGGCATGGTTACATATTTGATGTGTTCGCTGCCAAGAACTCAACTCTACGAACCTTGAATATTCCGTCTGAACTGAACAAACTTTCTCCCTTCCGAAACATTTTGCTGCCTTATTGCTGGCCAGACATAAAATTTGATTTAATAACCGTTGCTGGGCGCCATAAAAATGTTAGCCATTAAAATTGCCAGAACGAAAATTCCGCTCATAAACGAAGGGCATTTAAAACGAAATGAATCCAGCAATCCTTCGGGTGAGATCGGGTTCACCAGGGTCTTAAGGTCTTTATTAGCTGTTAGCAGGCATTTCCAAAGTTCATAAATTGCGGTCCAGTTTTGGTTACGATGGTGCTATTTTTGAAAAAACATGTTTTTTTAATCAACAATCTTTATAAAAAAGGAGCTACACTTCATTTTGTTTAACATGGCCAGAACCTAAAATTCACTAGCAATAAAAACCAGTCAGTTCAAGAATCTTAAGGCAATATATACTCACTAAAGTAATAAACAAAAAGGTTCCAAACGGACAAAAACAAAGTTGTTTAGTATTTATTTAATTTATTTTTTATTTTTTTAGTTTAATGGTTTGTTTATATCTCATTTAGTTTAACTTTATTTTGTATTATTCACTTAATTTAATTTCTGCGTGTCCTGCATTCATTTTGGTTTTGTATTGTAAACTAGACGATTATAAATTTAGGCTTAAAAATACAAATATCATATTTAATTTTTTTGGCGACGCTTTTTATGGGTGTAATCAGAATGTTTTACAAAATAAATGGAAGAATACTTATAAATATGCAGACTTGTTTGAATAATCTAAAGGATAAAGTAAAAGATTTTTGTAATAAATGAAATGAAAGGTTGGCAGTTTTTGTTAGGCTCAAGAAATTTTAACTTTGGTAGAATTGAAAGCAAATATGGTTTAAGTTTTTAGTTTTGAAGTTTAAATTTAGTTCAAAGTTCTGAAATTCAATTGACTTGTTGCATTTTAGCAACAATGGCCTAGTGTGTTCTATAATTAATTAAATTGTCTGTGGAATTTTTCATTAAATTAAGCATTAATGTGTCTTATCCTGTTGTGCTTTAGTTGTCTTTGTACACAGTAAAAAAAAAGCGTCACTTGTTTGTTTCATCCTCAGAGCTTTAATTTAAGTAATTATCTAGTTATTTGTTTTCAATTATGCATCTCATTACTTTCATTGTTAATCTAATCTATTTTGAGCCATGTTTGTTTT